GATGAATGCAATGGTCCTATGGTTACTGCACTCCTTTCTTGGAGACTAGATCCTAGGCATATTCTTCCTAGGATTTTGATGGATTCAGTCTCTATAGCTTGGAATCGTTCTGTCCCATTCATACCTGGTGACTGATTTCTTCTATGGGCTTTGAGAACAGCCTTCAATTCATTTGCTAAAATTTAGAGTTCTTTCTCACCCAGCTCTGCTTCAATTGAATCTGTCATCTTCCATCTCTTCTGTACAATTCTATTGTTTCTATCTTCTCTCTCTTTCTTTTTTTATCTTGGTCATATAACATGTTTCCTTGTTGATCTTTCAGTATCCTAGTCTATGGTAAAATATTCCTTTGATTTATTTGATATTATAGAAAAGAGCTATTTTTCCTTTTGTTGTTCTCTTCGATTGTTCTGCAGTGATTATTGTAATAATCTTTTTTGTCTCTAAATGAGGCTGCATTCAAGATTTTGACCCTGTTGCCTCTTGCTTTTGCTTTTTGTCCATCCTTAACAATTTAAATATTTCATCAGTCACCCATCTAGATTGTTCTTTTCTTTTGACAATGGGAATTGTTGTATGTGTGTGTGTTTTCTTCCCTGCTAATATCTCTGATTTCAATTCACAGTTCTTCTGATTCATTGTTAAATGAATTCAGTAATACAAAAACTACAGACTGAACTGCCAGAGAGATAATATTTCCTGGATGACGACCTTAGCTCATGGGAAACAATTCTGGTCCTCTATACAGTATTCTGTTTTAACAGTAGCTTCTTGTTCAGAGTGTAGGTTACATATCAGGACAAGTAAATATTGAGTCACTTCCATTTCTTTTAGATTAACCCATGCTCTTTAATGACCCACACAGTCAAATCTATAAAGCACAGGGTAAATTTTTTTCCTGAAATTGTCTGGTACACTCCAGTAGCCAATGTATAATTGCAACATGATCTCTAGTGACTCTAACTTGAATTTTAGGCACTTCTTGCTCCATATGATAACAATTCTTTTTGAAAAACATTGAACATCAGTTTGCTTACATAGGAGATGAATGCAATGGTCCTATGGTTACTGCACTCCTTTCTTGGAGACTAGATCCTAGGCATATTCTTCCTAGGATTTTGATGGATTCAGTCTCTATAGCTTGGAATCGTTCTGTCCCATTCATACCTGGTGACTGATTTCTTCTATGGGCTTTGAGAACAGCCTTCAATTCATTTGCTAAAATTTAGAGTTCTTTCTCACCCAGCTCTGCTTCAATTGAATCTGTCATCTTCCATCTCTTCTGTACAATTCTATTGTTTCTATCTTCTCTCTCTCTATTTCTTTTTTTATCTTGGTCATATAACATGTTTCCTTGTTGATCTTTCAGTATCCTAGTCTATGGTAAAATATTCCTTTGATTTATTTGATATTATAGAAAAGAGCTATTTTTCCTTTTGTTGTTCTCTTCGATTGTTCTGCAGTGATTATTGTAATAATCTTTTTTGTCTCTAAATGAGGCTGCATTCAAGATTTTGACCCTGTTGCCTCTTGCTTTTGCTTTTTGTCCATCCTTAACAATTTAAATATTTCATCAGTCACCCATCTAGATTGTTCTTTTCTTTTGACAATGGGAATTGTTGTATGTGTGTGTGTTTTCTTCCCTGCTAATATCTCTGATTTCAATTCACACTTCTTCTGATTCATTGTTAAATGAATTCAGTAATACAAATCTGTTCCTCTTACGAAATTAATCCAAAATATTATTTAAATTGTATTTTGTGACTACGATACTTTCCATTTTTTCCTTCAGCTTTACTTTGATTTTCTAATATTAACCATTCATGGTCTTCTAATATAACCTGCATTTGGTCTTGTTTTGGCACTAAGAATACAGTATAAGTTATCCATCTACTACTTCCAGTTACAGAGTCTATTTGATTCCCATATTGGACATCTGGTGATGTAAATGTGTACAGATGTCTGTTCAGTTTTATCTACTCCAACAGTTAACCCCCTCCCAATCCCCAACTATATCATCGCTAGTGTGCCCACCTTGTCTGTATTGTGAGGGAACTATCAAAGCATAGTTGCTAAAGCATGAATTAGAGCACTCCTCATATCCTTTTCCTTTCTTCTTAGGTGGTGCAGTCCTGTAAACCTCCACTAATTTCATTCTTGCAGGTAAGAATGAAAAACTCCAAAATAGTTTTGCTTACTAGGTCAAGTCAAAGTATTTTACTGACTGCTATGAATCTATTTAACCTAGTCATAGATAACTTGTGTGGTTGATATTTATGCTCATTTTTGCCACACTGTGATCCTTCACTGTGCTGGCAACCTGCTTCTTTATCTTTCAAAGAAGTGAGGATAATGGGTGTGTAAAAAGAGAGATCATCAAAAAGAATCTTAAGGGTCTATAGAATCCGCTGTGCTGGAAACCTACTTCTTTACCTTTCAAAGAAGTGAGGATAATGGGAACCAGTGTGTAAAAAGAGAGATCACCAAAAAGAATCTTAAGGGTCTATAGAATCCATCCACCTAGGTGCCATGAGGTTCTTAAATCATTGATGCCATGCTTTCATAGACCAGTATTCCTGTTCTCCGCAATATGGTTTGCCAGCAGTTGGGCTAGGCATGGGGTGAGGTGGAATTTGGAGCTGGAAGGAGAATCAGCCAGTAATCACGCTGCTTGATGAAAAGATCTACTGTTATGTTATTTCAAAAGCTGGTGCAAACTGTAGCTAATGAAAGGTCTTGCCAATTTCATCCACAAAATCTGTCTGCGCTACCCTATACCATGTAGTAGGCACCAAGAGTTCATAAGGATTCAAGATAGATCAGCACTCAAAAGATGGAAAACCCAGACTAGAGTTTCAAATGTAGAAGGAAAAAAAAAGGAAATCTTATCTGATACAGTGAATTCATGATAAAATGGTAAAGAAATCCATTCTGTGTTTTTAAGTCTCACAGCTGAAATGCACCATCTGACTCTCATCAGATGTGGTAGGAAGTATCTATTGTGTGTTCTACAGTCTCCCTACAGTGTTGTGTGTTCTACAGTGTTGTAACCAAAGACAAACTAAAGAAAACACATTTCCCCCTAATATATTTCCTGAAACTCCAGACTGGCAACGTACATTTAAAGCATTTTGAAGAGTTATAATAAAGAAGGAAAAAAGAAAACAGAAGGAAACAAAAGAAAAAAGCTAATCTGATAGTGATGTAAACAACATATAAAGTGAAACTTGCTATTACAAGAATTAGAACAAAATGTAAACTACGATATACATATTTTACTAATATTGCTAAAGAGAAAATTAGTTGTATTATTAAAACTAGGAAAGCAGAAAATCAGAGCAGAAGAAATTTTTGCAGCAAAAGGAAATAAATTTCAGGACAGAAATGTGTAAATGCTTGCTATTCTGCAGCATAAATGATGTTGCTCACGAACTATTTCTGTGGACACATTGCATTTCTATTGGCATGGCATATAGCATGGCAACCCAAAGAGTTTTTCCTTCATTCTGCATCACCAAGGTCTTTCCCATTAATTCTAAAAGGGACAGCAGATCTGTGTGTACATTTCTATAGTAAGGTGTCTCTGCCATACCATTCACAAGTGATTTTTGTAAGTTCAAAACTGAAATGGAACGTGAACGACATTCTTTCTTGTCTGTCAAAAGCATTTGTCATTCAAAGTTACATTACTTCTGAAGATGAAGGTGCTATCAAATTCTCCCAGCTAATAGTCACTTATAAGCTTATCCTCTAGAAGCCGAGTGAGAATCTAGTGTCCCTATATTGGGAAAATTAAATGTGCCATGATAGGCTGCTTTGAGATCTGAGAAGGAAGCGTAATTGAACTACATGCCACATGTAGTTAATGTTGCATACAGCAGCCAGACTGATTTCTGGAACTAGCAAATTCAATCACATTTCATAAGTCTTGGCCAAACTTCATTGGTTCCCCGTCTGTTTCTGTGCTAAATTCAAGATTATGGTTATGATCTCTAAAACACTTAATAGTTTAGAACCTTAATACTTGTTAGGACATCTTTCTCAGAAATCAGCTACCCATTTAACACACTCCTCCCTGTTTACATTATACGGCGATACAACCAATTTGAACAAAAAAGAATCCATCTACCATGTGACTATCTACATAGAATGGTGATGGCTTTCAGTGAGTATCTTTCCCAGCTCTGCCTGGAGATGTGGGCCTTGGAGAACTTTTGTTTCTCATCTAGGACCTTTTAGATGCAAAGCACGTACAGTACCACATTATTCAGCAAACTGTAACAGCCTGGCCATTGAGGAAAGATCTTTTAATTAGGGGGTTTGTGCTTTTGATCATGTTGATTTAACATAATAATCTGTTCAAGTGAGCTTTCAAATCATAATAATTTATTGTGGTTTTCATCTCTCTACCTTTTTCTTCTTCTTTTTAAAACTTATGTTGTGAGTCACCTTGAGTTTCAGACTCGGGAGAAGGGCAGGATATAAATTTAAGCAAGCCATTCTACAGTCATTCTATGCACTTATAAATGAGGCGTGAGACCTAAGGGAAACTGAAGCTATTTCCAAGACAAGTCAGAATTGCTGTTTAAAACCTAGGGTGTTTCCAGATAAGATTTCTGCTTTGGAATCATCCTGCCCTGTTCAAGAAATTTTACTGCAGATCCAAACAACCTCATTTTCTACTCATAACTGTGGTTTAGCATAACTTATTCCATCTTTTCTCTTAACTGCAACACACACACACACACACACACACACACGCACACACACACACACACACACACACACACACACACACACACACACACACACACACACACACACACACACCCCAGTATGTGAAGAAGCGAAAGATAGAATAGCTGTGGAATACTTTTATGTCAGTTCTATACGGAACCACCTGTCTGAAAACAGACAGTAAAATTCCATAACCTCACAAGCACACAAAATCAAAGATTTTCACCTAGATTAGGTGGTTAGTAATGGAATATCCTACTTACTTTTTCACCAGGAACTCCAATAGGGCCTTGTGGGCCTGGAAGACCCTGTTAAAAAAAGAAGAAAAGAGTCTGTTGTACATCCAAAGCAAGAATACACATGTTTTCCCAAGTCAAATGCCTCATCAAGTAGGTTCAAAAAGTTCCCATTAAAGAAAATAAACCAGAGAGGGCAGGGAGTTTGTGAAGAGCTCTTATACTGGCTAATTCGGCTGCCAATGAATGAACAATATGATTCAGATACAGACACCTTGAAAATGTGGCCTGTTTGTCATGGGTTTTAAGGAGTTCTGAGTGAATGATGTTGGGTTTTTTTTTTTCTCCAAGGGAAGCCAACACTGAGCAATTGACTGGGGCGGGTCCCTGTGCAAACTTGACTTAACCTTTTGCTCCCAAGTCTGGTGTGGATGTTTTTAGGACAGTTTATAATGTCTAGAAGCAGGGATAAGAATCCTGGTTTTATTTGGAGTAGGCTTCCTCCTAGAGAAAATGGGCTGCGTCACTCTAACAAGAATGTTGTGTAGTTGATGTTCTTTACAGCGATCCTGACCGTTCCACCAGGGGGCTGCAGTGTAGGATAAATGCCTGTGTAGCTGGCCTCTAAGTTCACTGAATGGGAAAAAAATGTACCAACCCTCCCTTTTTTTTCCTCTTTATCTGCTTAATAATTATTAAAAAGAAGAGTCACAGGCTAGGGTTCCTGAGTACTTACTTGTGGGCCTGGAATTCCTTGTTGGCCAGGAGGTCCTGGTTCTCCTTGAGGGCCCTGTTATATATGAAATACACAGAGAATGTATTAATTTGAAGGCAAATACATTTATGTACCTTTCCTATCACTCTAAGCCTACCATCACTTCTTCCATGTCAACTAATGTTAGCTGCCCTGCTCCAGAATGTGAAATTATTTCAGCCTTGATTTCATTGTGTTTCCCCTTCACCCACTCTTCCCCCCCTGTATTAACAATGAGGCTATATTTCTGAGACTATTTTCCTTTCCAGCAATGAAATCCATATGCATTCTGTACATTGTTCCTAATACACCATTTATTCACTTATTTTATCCATTTCTGTATCTTCCCCCCCGATTCAACTGTTTTTGTACCTATTTATAAAAACCTATATCTTTTAGCCATTTTCAAATACACACAGTTTTGGGCATACTGTATTTATCCAAAATGCCTTGTATCATATGTGCATGAATTCTTGAGGTAAAATTTGCTTTTAATCAAAATGGTCAGAATTGTATGATCTAGGCAGGCATAAAAGAAATCACATTAATTTGCAGTAGCAAATTGATGCTAATTAACAAGTTGCTGGTTGCATTCCTGGTTGCACAACGGACATACAACTAGGAACATGACTGGCATCTTGATAGAATAAATTCACTGCTATGAATTACGGTATTTTTCGCTCAATAAGACGCACCTTTCCATAAGACGCACCAATTTTTTAGGAGAAGAAAACAGGAAAATATAATCTGTTTTCTTACCTCCATAAGACGCACAGACTTTCCACCCCCCTGTTTTGTGGGGGGAAAGTGCGTCTTATGGTGCGAAAAATACGGTATAAGATTTTACTTATGTATGCGCATTTTGCCAATAAGATGCTGGCCAGTGAGTTTCAGGAGGTGTAAAATTGCTACTTTCAATGCAGCTCACATATCCAGACACAGTATTTTCCATTTCTTACTGTGCTCTTTTCCATTCCTCTTTCCCACCTGCTCCCCATGACACCTTAAAACAGCATTCATGGTGAGCTAGTAATTCTGTGTCCTCACTAATGTATATGCGAGAGCACAGAGAAGGAGAAACACTGAAGCTTTATGGGGACCATAATATGCAGTTTTCTCTTGCACCTGAGGGGCACACCATTAGTTTTAAGATACTGAAAGAACTCAAGTAAAAATAAGGGACAATTTATTTGGTGATTTATTTCTTTTGAAAACCTTATCTCCTGCCCTGAAGTTCTACTCACCAAGTTTCCTTTTGGACCTGGTGGACCATCAATACCTGAGATTCCCTACATTAAAGAAGAGACAAAACCAAATATTGGTCATAGATATATTTGTGGAGAAATTCAAAAATATTACTACATCTTTTAAAAGAAATACATACAGGCTGTCCTGGTGGGCCAGGAGTTCCTCTTGGGCCCAGCAATCCTCGTGGACCCTGTGGAAGGAACATAAATCTAATTAGGACTCTAATGAAGAAATAAGAACAATTTAGAAGCCCTGTGAGAGTGTCAGACATTAAGACCTCTTCAGCCTCAACCATGAACCAAATAATATCTTAGCCCAATTCTAGCTCCCAAAAGCTATGTTTCCAAATCTTAGTAAAATGCACAACCAGGCATCCTGGACTGATTCTCAGGTGTGATCAGACCATCCTTCAAAGGTATATTTGAACAGCAGCCTCTCCCACTCCCACGCAAAAAACATATGGGAGTGTTCAGCCTAGAAGGGCCCGTTCCACCTTAAAGCAGTGTCCCTAAATAATGTATTATCGAAACAAAATGGTGAATGGGATAAAATGCCACAGAGAGGTCCAATGGACAAGGGCTGGACTCATTGATCCATAGTTCCCCATCAGCTCTGCAGTTTGATTATGATGGGGATGACACCCTAGTCTGCTTCCTCTTGTAGGTCATCTAAAAAATATTCCAAGGCTGTTTCTGTCCTAAAACTAAATATGTATTGGGGGTAGCGTATAATCAAGTCCATCAAGAAAGCCTACAGATTGGCACAATTTGCCATTGAGAACTTATTTTAAAAAATACTGCTGGATAGCTCAGTGGTTTAATATGCTTTGCCTAAGGTAACAAACGATTAAAATGGTTTAGATATCAGAATTTGGAGCCAGAGGTTGGGAGTTTGATTCCTCACAGTGCCTTCTTGACAGGGGCTGGACTCAATGATCCCCAAGCCCCCTCCCAGCTCTACAGTTCTAGGATGATGATGTACATCAAAACAAGGCACACAAGGATCACTCTTTAAATGCAAATTATCACTCCGGGGGCTCTTCTGGGTGTGCTAACTGACTCCTAAATAAGACAGGAATCCCCTTTGTGGCTTGTTTTACAGTGGAAGGACAGTTTTTCAAATTTTTCTGCCACTGACATGCCATAGTAGCGAATTCTGCAGTGACAGTAATAGCACTAGGGATTTGGGGTGGCACACAAATTGTCCAAGGGGGTGAGTAGGCAATATGCTGCCTATTCTTGTTGTACATAAACAACATGCTGAATGTTCTAAGCAAAAGCCTTTGTATTTCTCATTTCACCTTTGCATATATATTCTCGGATTCATTTCTGCGTCACATAAGCATTTGGTTGGAATTATACCTAAATTGGTTAAGTAACCAAGAAGATACATTTCTGTGGTTAGAAACAGGTATTTCGGTATGCAGACTTTTATTAAAAGTCAATGGATTCAAGGACTATTTCTGTTAAAATATCACAGAAGCCATTTTGAGAGTGCCTCTTTTTTTTAGTTCATAATTATTTCCAGATCCACCTTGGATTTAGACACTCTAGTAAAGATATTATTAAATTTTCCTTCTTTATGTGGTAATTACACACATAGGCTGAAATCTAGTAGCTCAATGAAACTAGAGTTGGCCATTGAATCAGTATGGATATGGTAAATCAACATCTAAGTAAGTCCCATTAATTCAGTGGGCTTACTCTAGTTGCAACTTACTTTTAGCATAATATATTTCTTTGAAACCCAGGAATCCTGGGTTTATTCATTTCAGTTCCATTTCCCAGTGGAAACAGTTGGGGACTGCCCACCTCCACCCTTTCCTCCATATGCCTCACCTGGTTGCACCCTGAGTCAGGACAGCAGGGATGAAACAATTCTGAGAGTTGAGGTGAGCACAGACGTTAAGTCTTCTGTAAATGTCCCTACTCATATAATTGCAACACTGGTAGTCTCCCTGAAGGCCACGTTATGCTGAAAAGTGAGTATAGAACCAGTGACAGCCTGGAAAGTAGACTTTCAGGAATCCTACATAGGTTTGTGTTCCATGAATAAAAGGGACCACATAAATGTGACACATAAGTATATAGATAGGTGTCTGTGAATAAGGAACCATCCACTGTTTAGTACAAACACTACAGATAAAGTGGGATATTGAATTATATATTTTATCCCAGAGCTTAGAAATATTGTAACACAGATAATGTTTCAACCAGTATGGCCAGTTTTTCCAAGCTCTGCACTGAAACAGATACCTAAATAATCCTGCTGTACCTGTATATTCTGTATTTATCTCTATATTGGGAATGTTCAAAGGAGGAAAGACAAGTGCACTGCTGCGAAATTCCAATAAACAAGAGCAGTCTCCTTAATGGGCAAAATCTGTACAAAGGACCATATTTATTGCTTGGTTACACCCACTCAGAAATGAGACCAAATATAGGGTTTAATATTACAAACAGATACGCAAAGCAGATTTTTCCTCATGAAAGCCTGAGCATCAGATACAGTATTGAACAATCAGAAAACCTCACTTACAGCTTCACCTGGGAGGCCTCTTGGTCCAACCTCTCCATCTTCCCCCTGTTACCAAACCAAAATCAAAGACTCAGTGCATGAAAGGAACCCTTATTTTAGATTTTTACTGTGTAGTCGAAAGGAGAGAAGAAAATGTGAACCTACTCTCATTCCATCTTCACCAGGAGCACCAGGAGGTCCTTGTGGGCCACGATCACCCTGGAGGTCAGAGAAACCACATCAAAATCATACTATCATGAACAGCTTTAAGTATATGATGATAATGCAAAAGTAGAATCCAAGCAAACATGCTGACCACCTTGACTATACAGATACAAAGCTCTATGTCCTACATTAAACTGCAGAAGATTACACTCAAGACTGGATAGAAAGTACTGGCTGTAATCCAACACAGAGTTGGGCATTCAGTGGGCTAAAGTGTGCCTACTTCTTCTGTGCTTGACTGGGGCTACCACTTCCATACAAAAAGGCAAAGCCAAAAGAAAAAGAGAAAAAAGTCTAGTCATATGTCTCTACATGTCCTGCCTTGTCCAGGAACTTCCAAAGAGAACAACAATATTCTGGATGAACAGAGCAGTTTAACATTTCTTCAGAGTTGCTGTAGCTGGTTTATCTACATATGTTCATCATTTGGTTACTGCAACATAAAATGATGGTGTATATGCACGAATTAGCCTTCCTAGATCTAGCACTGGACAGTTCTGTGTCACCTAACAGCATCTTAAGCAAAGTACTTTGCAAATAACTTGTTCACACATTTTCATCTGCCAGTCACTGGCCTTGTTTAGACATTGCACTAAACCATGGAACAAGATGCAGAGAGCGCCATGTCTGCACATGTAGCCTTCCTGTCTATTACAAGGAAGAGTTTTCGATTTTCATTCTTACTCCTGTTTGGTATGTCATCCAGCTTGATTCACGCTCCTCAATTAAGGTGTGGATCAGAATGTAAAAATAATTTCAAATTCTCTCAATTCATGACAGAATTTCCAACTCAAAAAGTGTACCAGAATATATTCAAATCTGATATAAAATATGCTTCTAAATATATATTTCATCAGAAAATGTGTTCAAATATGCATTTTTGTGTTATGGACTGACATTTTGGTTCAAACATATGGCGACCCTAGTAAGGTTCCCAAGGCATATGAGATGCTTGAGTGGTTTTACCAAGACCATCTTTCCCTCTGTGACACTGGTGGATTTCTATGGCTGAGTGAGGACTGTACCTAGGTTTCCTGAATTTTAGCCCCACAGTCTACATACTGCTCTACACTGTCTCTCAAAATATGCATTTAAATATGCATTTAGATGCAATGTTTATATCTATTCTGAAATTGCAAATTAAAGTGAAACTTTAAACACATTCAATCTTTTATTACCATGTCGAATCAACTGGTTAGCCCCAGCCCTCCATCTCCAGTTTTGTTACTGTGCTATGCACAGAACCTAGCAAAAGCACCCTTTGGGCATTCACAGCATGTATTGACTCACTACAGGTAAAGGGAGTACTGCACTACTGCCCCATTTATTTTCAATGCGAACACTCTTCTATGCATGGAGAATGATGCATTTGAAGAGGATGGTCACCACTATTCGTGGGGGCGTGATCTCCACCTGAGCCAGGATTCTGATTTGCCAGGAACTCAATACATATGGAGAGCCTCCGCAGATACTCTCCTCTTCAGACACATTGCTCTGCGCATGTAGAAGAGCAACAGCACGGGAAACAAATGTTGTCTTCATCTCCACAGAAGTGAATGACAACCATTCATTTCTAAGGGAGAAAGTTTAAAAAGGAGTCTAACTAAAGGAAGCTACCACAATGAATTCTATCTGCTCCACAGCTCTGGTGACCCAGGTGACATCAGACACTGAAAACAGCATGCTCCTGTATACCGAACTCTGTATACATATTACCAACTATTGATTCCAGAACAAAGTGAGAGGTGGAAGAGGGTAGGGGGAGGATGGATGGATACACAGATCATAGGTAAACACTGTTTATACTTGTGCACTCTAATGGAAATGTGGGGCAACCAATTACATCCAAAACTTAAAATGACATCCAATGTTCCTTGCCATATTGCTTTGCTGGAGCATTAGTAATCTCTGGTTTATATGTACAGTATATGGAAAGGAAAGACAACCAGAGAGGGAGAGAGGGAGGTTCCCACCACCTTCTATAACATGTTTCTCTCAGTGACTAGATGAAAGCAGTCATCTGTTCTTCAGCAGAGACTAATGCATGCAGTTGAACTATGGCTGGGGTGGACTGTTTTTACAAAGATATGCATATGTTATGGTGTACATATACAGATATCTTTTGATCCCCTTGCTATGGATAAATGGTCCACTGGATTTTGTATTTTGTTCTTACTTCCCTATTTTGCCATGTTTTCCCAGACAAGTTTAGACTTAAAACTTATGCCAAGTAACATCCATGCACATGGATTCTGAATTTGCAATTTGTGTAAGGAGATAAAATTTCCACCGAACTGGAAACCTTTGGGTATTTCATGCAAACATGACTGTCCTGCTTCATGCATTTGAAAGGCTCTAGTTTAAAAATAACTGTATCACAAGTCTAGGGGAATGTGACAGAAGCACTTAAATGCTATTAAACTTAATGTTGAATATATTTTTTTTTATAAGAAACATGCTGGCAGGATCAATGGTCTTGAAAAAGAGCACACCAAAAGATACTTTCATCTCACACCTAATGGTCACCAAATATTGCTAACTCAGTTGCACCAGATTAAATGAAGACACAAAGTCTTTGGCTTTGGGACAGTTAGAAAATGTTTATTCAGCCATAGTGGAGCATGTGGAGTATGTGCTATTAGTGCTTAATGCACAGTGCCCTCTGCTGGACACACACAGAATTAGTTTGAGCTTTACAGAAAAAAAACATTCACATGTTTCTTATCCCCCCCCCCCAATATAGCACTGATCAAACCTTTTTGACACTGAACAAAGGGTTTTTTTGGTGTGGTTTTTCGGTTAATTTTTGGTTAATATAGATCAGGTCAATGACATGGATAATCCTGTTATGAGACAGGTGTCCAATTCTTGTTTTTTCAATACTGTATCAAATAATTTCCATATTTGATTTTTGTACCTAAAGACAGTTTGCTGGGAGAGAATCACTGTTTGAAAGAAACTAGCTTCCATTCAGTGAAAACTGATTTCCTGTAAACATGCAACAAAAAGTGCCCCAAGTGTATTTGTACAGACTGGCATTGTTTCTGTGACAAAGTGTTTGCCTGACTACAATTCCATATGCATTGATTTTCCCAGCAGGACTCTAATCAACAAGACTTACTTCTGACTAGGTGTCCATAGATTGTACCACAAATGGCTAGGGTACAGAAAATAATGCAGTTGCTTTAAATAATGTGCCATTTTGCTGCACCCATATTCTTAAAGGGTTTTCCAGATAAAATATGCATTTTTTTTCTTACCCTGTGACCTTTTTCACCAGGTAGACCAGGAAGCCCATCAAAACCTCTGTCACCCTAGCAGGGAAAAGAAAATAATAACTTCAGCAATTCACTATTGACAAACTACACAGATATTTCTACAGCTGTGCCAAAAAAACACCCCTCATCTCTAAAGCCTTATTGGAACCACTTTCTCAAATTTGGGGTGACTAAAGGTGAGATTATCATCAGTATGGGATGATATTTTTGAGACAAGACACAAGAAGGTAATGCTGTCTTTGTTACATATCCTGCTCTCAGACTCTGATTTTAAAACTATGCTTTGATGGCCTGGCAAATCCACAGCTAATGGTAACAATGGTAAATCTGATGCAACATTACTTCTGGACATGGAAAAAGAACAATATCACCCCCAGCCCACTATAGTTACAGGTGACCCAGTTTCCTCCACTAGACCAGTGGTTCTTAACCTTTGTTCCTCAGGTGTTTTTGAACTGCAACTCCCAGAACCCCCAGCCAGCAGAGCTGATGGTGAAGGCTTCTGGGAGTTGCAGTCCAAAAACATCTGCGTAACAAAGGTTTAGAACCAGTGCACTAGACAAAGGCTGTTCCAACCACATTCAGTAGAGCACTAAGACTGAAGCTATTTCAGCATTTCATTAACAATCAATTAATCCCCATTCATCCCTACAAAGCCAATGAAAATCAATAATATTTGTAAATCCGGGAGAAGATAATGTGGCTTCTAATGAACACCCACCTGGCAAATGTTCCTGCACCATATAATAGTTCAAGTTTTACTAACCTTGGAGCCAGGTTCCCCGGGCATTCCTCTAGCTCCATCTGCACCTGGACGTCCCTAGAATTAAAAAAAAAATGTTAGCAGTTTACAATCCAGTGCAAAGCATTAAGAATAAATTTGTTGTCATTCTGAAATTTATTGAGTGTCCTTTCACTAACTGAAAGGCTCCATACTTACCCTTTTGCCAGGTTTTCCAGGGAGACCAGCTGGACCCTGTATACCACGAGGACCCTGAAAGGAAAGGAAGGAAGACATATTGACTGTAATGCATAATAAATCAAGAGCATCATGAAGACATTCTGATTAATTATCTACTTCTAACTTAGGCATTGATCCGCAGTGCTGTCAAAGTAAATTAGGAGGACATTGAGAGCTTTTTTAAATACCATGTTTGCTATATCTATATATGTACAGTAGGTATGTATTTTATGTGCTTATGTGCTTGCACACTTACATGTGTTATATGTGCATCAATGAAATAAAATAAACAAAATGAACAAATGCTTTGATAGTATCAATTTATAAGAGACGTAACAAAAGAAGCTAATTATTTTCCTATAAAGAATGCTTGTACAGTGGACCCCCCCCCCAATTTCATAGAAAATCTGCTTTGCTGTTCCTAATCAACCATGCGGACTCTTAGGAGATGACCTACTGATCAAAGGATCAAATGTTATAGTACTTGGAACCCTTCTGATGGAACAGGACACTGACCCCCGTTGTGCAACCACAGTCAGAGCAGTTGTCAGCTCACAGCAAAGCCACTAGGGAGGACAACATGGTCAGAGATGGCAAACTGTTTGTGTGTGTTTTGGAGAATGACCACCAGAATCCAACAGCCAGCCATTGCTATTGGGATTCAGAGTCAGCTCCCACTTCTGAGAATAGATGATAAATGGGTGATAAATTCCTAGCAAAATATAACCATGACCTAATTGGAATGGAGTACTATATTCAGATGTGCCAACGTACCAATGTATACAATCCACAATTACAGAGTTCCCCCCTTTTCAGCCTACTCCAAAAGGAGTAGATGCACTAGGTGAAGTCCCATTTCACTGCTCTGTGTGCACAGTGGGGATGATGCCACCATCAGCGGATGATGCCACTGATAAAAAGCTTCTTTTAGTTACTATGGGGTGACTTTGTAGAATTATCTACAAGCTGCTTGCACTCTGAAACTGCCCTCAACCAGCAGCAAATTTGCCCCAATGATGATCTTGCACCCACAGAGTTGTGCGACAAGATTTCACCTACTGAATGAGTAGGGTTTGCATAAAGAATCATTGAGTTGGAAGGGGCCTATAAGGCCATCAAGTCCAACTCCCTGCTCACTGCAGGAATCCACATCAAAGCAGATGTGACAGAATAAAGGATGGAGTCACCATTCAGCAGTTGATTCAAAGGATCTCTTTTACCAGAGTCACAGAATAAAGGATGGAGTCACCACTCAGCAGTTGATTCAAAGGATCTCTTTTACTTTGGCTGAGCAACTAGATTTTAGGCCTCTCTTTTTAACTTACTGTTAACAATGATGAGCCGTGCTATAATGGAGTGTCTTACCTGAGGACCTGGATCTCCACTGTCTCCTTTGGCACCTGAAGAACCTGGGCCACCCTGCATAGGGCAAAAGCAAAGCAGTACTTTAGTTCAAGCTAAGCCATATTTTAGCTGCAGGGGAAAAAAATGAATACCTTTGCACTGCTGCAGACGTGTAATTTGGGACGTGTTCTTGGGATAAAAAGAGCTTAAGTCGTAACAGATTGATGGGCTTATGATCCTCTTTAGTATACAGCCGCAAATCTGCAGAATCCAAAGATTTGCTATGCAAGAAATTGGGCACTAAAAGGTTGCTGCTTACCCCATTCCCTTGCATTTCTGATCCCAATAATACACTGAGATTTTGTAGAGATAAGAAAGGATATGTTTTTCTATCACAGTTCTTGGAATCCCACAGCAGAGAGGGCCACCAACCAGGGTGGATGGCTATGGCATTCTGGGAGTTCACTGAGGGTCCAGTATGACATTTGGTGTGATCCTCACATCCGAATGGCATATAGACCCCATGTCCCTATTTGGTTCGCACTGGCCCGAAATGAATTTGCCAGTATTGTAAAGTGGCTTAAAAAGAGACTGGACCTTTAAGAGAAAACAAGAGAGAGAAAAAACCCTCATTGCCTTCTATCCTTTTTTTAAAAAAGTGGTGCAACACATCTGCACTGCCCTAATACATTTAAAAAAAAACACCTCACTTTCTCTCCCCCTCTATGGAGTTGAAGGAGAGTTTAATTTGTCAATATTCTGAAGTGGCTCTCTTCTTAAGCCATGCCACAATACGACAACTTTACAGCAGAAGGCTTGCTTTTGGTTCATTCCCAGTGATCACATATGCCAAAATGGACCAATCCTACCTGAACAAAAAAAATACAAGCCCCCAACAGGGGCCAGAAAGGTGCCAGTACGAATGTTCGGTGGTGGTGGTGGTGGTGGATTGCTCCAGCAAACCACAATGTTTGATTGCCATATTTAAGAGTGAACCAGCCGGTCCCTGCTGTGGACCAAACAGTGGGCTGAACAATCACAGTCACCCTTCTAGTCTCAGAACCAGCCCGTCCCTGCTGTGGACCAAACAGCGGGATGAACAATCACAGTCACCCTTCTAGTCTCACTCAGGTCCTGGGCTGAAAAGAATCATTTCAGCCACTTTATGTAAACACTGTAAAGTGATGTAGGAGACTACTCTCCCCCCCTCTTCTTATGTCTTATGTGTTTGAAACAGCACACCATTTCCCCGATTCACTTAACCCAGGCCTTGGTGTTGAGAAAACTAATCACAGTTCCCATACTGGCACTCAATGGTCGTAACTCAGCTTATTAATATGTTGGTGGAATGGTTTCTTATTTGAGACTCAGGCTTCTGTGTAGTATCAAACAGCGAGGGAGAAATAGATCCACTCTTTTTTAAAAGACTCCTTATTGTTACTGTTATTATTTCAAAAATCACAAGAGCTGAATTTCTACAGCCTCCTAGTGGCTTGAGAGGAAATTGGCAAAGATAATACAGTAGTGGGGTTTTC